TGGAGGGGGACACTTCTAAGCTCCATAGCTCCATAGCTCCATAACAGGGCTCCCAACAGATCCACAGTTCGGCTGAAGAAATTTAAAATGATAAAACTCAACTGCTTTTCTCCAGAGCCTATTTTAAGCCTAGTTTTAAGCAGATTGTTCCTTTAATTGGGGATTGTATGGTTATTAATGAAGCAAAATGAAGGTGAAAAAAATGCAGTAAAGCTTAGTTAAATGTATATTAGAAGAATCTCTGCTAAAACATTTCAAACAACTTTACAGGTTATTTTATAATGATAAAAACTACAGAATGTTTTCTTTAAAGTATTTTTCAAATCCATTATGTCTTCATAAAACTTTTGATTTGATCAAAGACTTTTTGACTTTTGAATTGAAAACAATTGATTTGTGCTGTTTGGTAAATAAAATGTATTAATATTATTTAAAACAGTTACAGTGCTTACCTATATTTATGTATAAATACATTTGTTTATGCAATATCAAGAAGTAAAATTCTGTTTTAAATAAACACTCTTCCATTTAACTTTCTATTTATCAAACAATCCTTAAACAAAAAAATATTGAGCAAAAATGGTTTTCAGCACTGATAATAAAATGCCATTATTAATTATTAGGCACATGATTGATAGATAGCTGGATTGTATTGGCTGGTGAAAAGTCAACGGTGCCATCACAGGAATGAATCACATTAATGTATTACAATTCCCCATAGTCTGTAATTTCAATTAGATAGCGTTTTGGTTTATTTTATTATGTAATAATATGATATCAATTCTCACTCAGGCATCTTTACATTAATCACAACCAACTATTTCTTTTTAATTAAATAAACACAATACTATCAGTAGTATTTACTTATTTAATGTAACCTGACATTTTTAAGTATGGAATGTCTAGGGCCCAATCCCAATTCTATTTTTGTACCCCTACCTCTTCCCCTTGGCCCTTAAAGGGTCACGAAACACCAAAACACATTTTTTGAGCTGTTGACAGTCGTATATGTGTTCCACACTGCTAAAAACACTATTAGGACACCTATATTTCACTAAAAAGTGTAAATTGGTTGTTTTTGCGTTATTTCAAGCAAATTCATACTTCCTGTTTGAAACAAATTTTTGAAGCTGCGTCACGGTCATGACATAATAGCGTGTATTCCAGCGTGCAGACTGGACGTCTGTGCCTGAGTGAGTCTTATTACGTCTTACAGTGTGATACATTAATGCATGAGTAAGGCTTGGTTCAAACCAATCAGCGCGCTCTATTTTGCAACTTCATTAATATTCATTTGTGTCACCGTGTTTACACCACAAAGACGCCACGTTGTGTTGGCAAAACAACCGTGAAGTGTTGCTTTTATAGTTTGCTGCCGTTAAGTTTCGTTTTCATTTTCTCTCTGTGAGAGCTTATCTGGATCACGTGTGGATTAACAGTGTACGCGACGCTCGACAACAATAACTTACATGTCTAAGGAGGTTTATTGTTTACCTGAGAGCTGTTCTCATCTGCAAACGCTGAAATCTGGATTTGCTTGTAGTATTCTCTCCATAAAGACGCGGCTCTAGTTGCTGGTGATTGTCCTGTCTCTACAGATTTGGTAAGTGAGCGACCAGTGCTCTTTGTTTATTCAGTTTGTTCGTATCGAATTAAGTTAACTATTGCACTGAGTGCAGAAATGTTAGCACCGCATTTAGTGACCGGAATAACACACGCGGCTTTCTGACGCTACCTGCCGTGTGCATCTAAGTTTCCGGAAAATGCGGAGTTTTTTTTTTCTCTCATTCGCCGTGCGGTATCAAACATTACATGAAAAATACACGCTTGCAGCAGTTCCTCGAATCAAATATCTCGTTTGTCGCGAGGGGCATGAATGAATTCCCTGAATGAAAGAGCCAAACTGCAGTTAAAGTCCAACATTTAATAATTCGGCAAATAATTCGACTACAGATGTCCATGTAGGTTAAACACCATCACTTTCTCCTGTCTGTGTGGGTGTGTATTTTGACTCTGAAACTCGCGCGTGCACAAATAGACACTCCCACACCATCCCACTTAAGTTCCTCCGACACTCCCCCCTAAACAGAGCTGGACACGCCCACTTTTCTGACTTTTTTCAAAGTAGAGGTGTGAAAACACCCTGCTGAAACGAGGGGGTTTCATGGCCCTTTAAAACTGAGTGTAAAGGGGAAAGGCTTCAAAATTTATCCCCAAGGAAATGGGACAGCACTAAAGCACCTGCACACACGTCATTATATGCTTTTTAATGCTTCATATGAGATTTCAGTTGCTTTATTTTTTGGTATTTATCTTGAAGAAATCACTGAAGGCATATGTTATCATAACAATCTAATGTGGCAATAAGCTCGTAACTATACTGCACATTGAAACAGTGGCCATATTCATCCATGTAAACACACAACTAACAACATTATAGCAGACACTTTAAAAAGCCTATTCAAAGCCACTAGACATTTCGGACAGAGGACTTGAAAGTTAGAATTTTGTGGGACTGCTATACAAGAGTTATGAATATGGATTATATATAGCCGAATTTAGCGTTTTTTTATTTTAGCAGTTTTTTATAGCATGACGGTAAAACACGAACGTGGTTATGAATATATTAAAACGTGCTTGTTTGTTGTAAAAATTCATAATAATGACAAAAAATGTTAATTTGTGGATCTCCTTACTTCTGGGTGCAGCTATAATACTGTTGGGGCTGGTGTATTCTGGGAAATTTTCTTAACCTTTGGTTTCGAGTGTGGTCCTGAAAAATTTCCGTTTTAAAGAAACTATCTTCCCCTTCCCCTTAGTCCTATGCCTTCAAGCTTAAGAGAATTTGGACACTTCTACCCCTACCCCTTCACAGGAACGCGCAAAATGAGTGGTAGTGGTAAGGGGTAGAATTGGGATTGGGCCTAAATGTATCCCATTTTATTTGTTGTAAATCTCATAGTCTACTCTAAATTGTCTAAACTATTTTCTATGTCTATTACTGTATGTTTTAAGTTCTGTTATCCAATCTCAGAAGAGTTGATAAAAATAAAAATAAATAATCCAAACCTTTTTTTTAAATAATTTTTTATTTACAAAATGTATTAAAATTCTTTGTACAACGACTCACTATCAGGGCTCAGAAAACAACACCCACGCATGCATGTCATGAACGCGCAAAATGAGTGGTAGTGGTAAGGGTAAGGGGTAGAATTGAGATTGGGCCTAAATGTATCCCATTTTATTTGTTGCAAATCTCATAGTCTACTCTAAATTGTCTAAACTATTTTCTATGTCTATTACTGTATGTTTTAAGTTCTGTTATCCAATCTCAGAAGAGTTGATAAAAATAAAAATAAATAGTCCAAACCTTTTTTTTAAATAATTTTTTATTTACAAAATGTATTAAAATTCTTTGTACAACGACTCACTATCAGGGCTCAGAAAACAACACCCACGCATGCATGTCATACATCAGTCTGTCATTGGTTCATGTCTCAGGGCTGTGAGTTTTACAGTTTAGGAACAAGTCAAAATATGAAAGTTGAAACCCACTTTCTACTCACCCTCTAAATCTAATAGAAGTTGCAGAGCTTTACTTGGCAATCACAAGGTTTCGCATGCAGATAGAAAATTTGAGAATCCAGTCTTTTTTTAAAAAACCCTGTCTAGAGGGTTCATTTAGATTTTCTACATTTAAAAGCATTTCACTATAAAACTATCTGTCCACAGTCACAAGATCAGTGATATCCTCGGTCCCATGGAGTCACAGTTTGTTTACTTTCTCTCAAGCAAAATGTGCTGAGCTTCCCGTTAGCTCCTTTTATAAATCTCTAGTAAATGTTAATCCTAGTCTTTTTGTCTAAGTAATTCACCAAACACTAATACTTATCAAATAAAACTAAATGTCAATGCTTGATTTCATGTGTGACTTATATATAACTGTGAGGTAATCAAATACTAGCCTACATCATAAAAAGCCATGTCCTTTTGTGGACTGCGGTTTATCTACATTAGTGTGACCTTATAGCTTTACAGCTTAAGTTCCATGTATAGTATGCTGTGATAATTACAAAAACTTGGAAGTTCACATCCATAAATACAAGTCTAATGTGATTTAATAAAATTGTGTCTGTGTGCGTGTGATTGTTTTTTCAAGCTAACATGTGAAAAGACAATTGTTAGGGGTCTTATAGCTTCTAAGCTTCCAGCTTAAGTTCTGAGAAATATATATATCAGACAAAAGAAATGCACACCATAAACTGCAACATATCCAATTTTTCTGGAAATGAAATAACCATAATCTGCTAATTAATACACTTATTGAAGGAATGATAACGCAAATTTACATTATTACAAGCATTTCACCAGGCTCAGAAACTTTTATGAAATCGATCAGCTCTATTGGAGTGCTAAGATTGCAAGTAATGGCTTTATTTCTCATTTTTATGAAAGAGTGTCTGTTTTGTGTATGTTTGTGTGTGTATGTGTGTGTGTGAGTGTGTATATACACACAGTTGATGATTTATTAGCCCTCCTGTTACATTTTAATTTATTTATATGTTTTCTCAACTTCTGTTTAACAGAGATTTTTTTCAACATATTTCTAAACAATAGTTTTAATAACTCATTTCTAATAACTGATTACTTTTATCTTTGCCATAATGAGAGTACATAATATTTTACTAGATAGTTTTCAAAATAATAGTATTCAGCTTAAAATGCAATTTAAAGGCTGAACTATGTTAATTAGGTTAACAAGACTAGTTATGGCAATTAGGCAAGTCATTGTATTACAGTGGTTTTGTAGTTAAGTGGAAAAAAAAGATATTGCTTAAGAGGGCTAATACTATTGACCCTAAAAAATAAAACTTTTTTTATTCTAGCCAAAATAAAATAAATAATACTCTAGAGAAAAAATTAAATATGTTAGGTAATACTTTGTTGCTCTGTTAAACAACATTTGGGAAACATTTTAACAAAAAAAATTCACAGGAGGGATTATATATATATATATATATATATATATATATATATATATATATATATATATATATATATATATATAATGTGTGTTTGTGTTTATATATATGATGATGTCATTCAGTTGGTTTGTGTGACAGGAGTGATGCAAATTTTCTGTGATGAGTTTGCATCAGTGTGATACTCTGAATATTCTGTAAGGCACTGAAGAATTCCAATTTATTCCCAAATCTTGCGACAGTCGCAGTCTCAGATTAGCATGCTGGAGAATGATGTGCATGGAGAGAGTGTAGGGCGTAAGTGACCCCTCATGAAGATCCAGCTGTCTCTGGAAGGGTATCTTTGTCTTTTTCATAACACCATGCTGCCCATCTGGAAAAGACACACATAAAATGAACGCTAGAAACAAATCTTACCACTTTCACTGTTTTGGATTTGTTTATAAATTTTTTTATGTCTAGGCCAACTGTTATATTTTAAAAACACTTCTTTCTGTCACTTCTAGTACAAATATGACCAATATTATTCCACTGCTTGTTGTTCAAACATAACACTGTTGCACTACTCTATTGACTCAATAATTTGAAATGAATTATATTGCATAGAAAAGCACAATTCACAAGTCCAGCCTTCACACACGAACACACACGCAGAGCCATCATGAATACATTACCATTAGATTTTAACACTCTCTGTTCCATAAACGTTGTAGCCTTCTCTGTATGTGGCAAAGTTTTGGGTGTTGGCTGGTGGTGCTGGCTTATAGTTTTGGGCATTTTTTTCAAGTTTCAGCCGTTTAGCTTCTGCACGTGACTTGTAACAGAACTCTATCAATGCCACCATCATAGCAAGCCCTAGTCCACCAACCAGAATATAGAAGACACCAGCAACATTGCTCAGGCTCAGTGCACTTGTCTTGTCCTAAGAGAAGCAAGGGACATAGTTAGCGTTTCTTGCAGTGGTAACAATTTGACAAAACACACAATACAGCAGTTAACAAGATCTAACAAGGATAAAAAATAAATTTCTACTGCTTCCAGATGAATCTAGATTCATGTGACGAAGGAATTAAGCCAAATTTGTATCTAGCCCTAAAGCTCTAGATAAATGTAAGTTAAAGAGATAGAATTAATTAGGACCATAACTGGTGAATGTAGATGCTTCCTCTAACCTCATCTTCTCATTGGCTTCTTCATGTATCTGAGGAAGCTGGTCAGTTACATACAGGTCAGACCTCTGACTTAATAACCTTTCTTTAAACAACTGCCTTTACAACTTTTAACTTCATATTTTGACATATTTTCTATAACAGAGTACTGAATTTAACATCTGTTTGAATCATTCTGCTGCAGTTTACCCCTGCCCCAGACTTGTCAATTAAAATGTGTTCGTAAGCATTACATTGTTTGCTATTTATTTATTTATTTTACATAAGCTACTCTTTTAATTATTGTTTTTTTTTTTTTTTACATTTAGTTTTGTCTGTTATAACAAAGCTCCCAGTTACAAACAACACAGGTCAAACTTTACCACTCTAAAGAATGTTATGGTGGAACTATTCATCACAAAAGAAATGTTCAACAAGGTTCAGTAATTAAACAGACCTTTAAGGGAATAAATAAGTAACAACAAATATACATCATTAAATTAAACGTTTGGTGAATAAAAACTGCAGCATAATGGATACTGATAAAAGATGCAATAAAGATTATTGATATACAAAATATACAAAACCATTTTATCAATTTTCCTTTTCAGTTCCTCAATATCAGTTTTACATTTGTTTCTATGTGTGTGTATATAGATAGATAGATAGATAGATAGATAGATAGATAGATAGATAGATAGATAGATAGATAGATAGATAGAGAAAGAGAGAGAGAGAGAGAGAGAGAGAGAGAGAGAGAGAGAGAGTCTTAAAAGTACCCTGATGATTTGATATGATGGAAGAAAACTGTAGACCACACGCCATTGTTTCCTTATCTGTGGCCATAAATCATTACATCTACACAGTGTTAAATCAAGAACATTTTGTCCTTTGTAAATGAACAATATGTCAAAATGCAATTTTCTGAATCAGTACAAAAGACCTGCAGCGACTGACCTTACTTCCCGAGTCCTTGGTTCCACATTCACCCTTATCGTACCACCATTTGTTTTTCAGCTTGGCTAAGATGCCTTGTTCACTGAGTTTCAATACTGCAAGGTTTACAGGAGTTCTTCACGTGGGAAATAACATAAATAACATTATATTATGTTATTTTATGTTATTCAAGTCTTAACTACTTCATACTTTACAAAGCGATAAAGCAGGGCTCCTGGCCATTGTCAACACACATGTGGCAGGCATTCTGACTAGTACCTTCCATTCACCAGGGCTAATCTAGTGTGCCAGGACCTACCCGTATCGCTTTGAGTAATCGGCATACACTGTTAAGGAAAGAACGGGCAGGTTTCTGAAGAGATTGTCTGCAAGGCTATAAAAGCAGGGAAGCTTCTTCCTTAATTTTATCATCTGAGAAATGGATCTCCACTGGAACCCTCGACTGACTGACAGACCATTGAAAAATTACCAGTAGTATTTTGAACAGGCTGAGGAGAGTTGACGTTAAGACTGTGGACTGATTATAAGCAAATAATACAAAGTAACCAAACAAGCAAACACACATACAAAGGTGGTAAACAAGACTGTACACAAAACAATGAATGTATTTACTGAATCAGACGTTGTGTGTACTAGTGTGCTGGAGTTAATCAAACCAGAGTACCTAGAGTACTTCGGACATTCGGAATAGTTGCTAAAAAAGCCGTAACTACTGTAAATGATCTACTTGACCTGGCAGCCATTTTAGTAGTACTTAGAATAATGCTACCTGATGTTTCTTTTGACAACCTGACGTCAACATGAAATCAAAGTAGACATTTTTTCATAAGCCTTGTTGTGGATAATTATACAGCAAAAATGACCTTTGCAATCTTTTTTAAATGCAAGAGCTTACTCCATGATTAAGTATTGAGATCATCAGTAACCCTAATTTCATCTAATAGTCATATTTTTGAACATCACATTTGAATTAGAAATTCTGAAAAGTCTGTTATTTTTAACTTTAAAACTTTTGCTAATCTGTCTACGTTATTCTTTTAAACAACTATTCAATTTAATTAAGTTTTTTTTTACCACGAGAAAAAGCTGCGCCATCACTTCTCTAGATAAAGTCATTTTTACTATCGCAGTGCCCCTAAAATTCATTTTAGCCTGGTAGAGAGACATTGAGTAACAGTGTAATTGTCCTCAGAGTGTTCAAGCAACGGAGCTGGAAAAGCATCCACAACCAGGTTGCTGGGGCCAAAAAGGGAAAGTGTTGTGTGGCTCAAGAAGACTGTTGCGGGTGGTATAACGTGGGTATTCTCTTGGTTTTCTCTCTTTTTGTTCTGTTTTTATTTGTACAGCTGGGTCCAGACATGACAAATGGGAATTTCAAATCACTGCAATCTGCAAAAACAGAAAACTGGAAAAGTGGTTATGAAAACATCCACAGACAGGGGGTACAATGCTGTAGACTGTACTGAAAAACTGCTCAGTAACAATTAGAACAGGCCCCACTTTCAGGAAGTATGAAACGTCAGAAAGTCCCAGTATTGTCTATTTTACACAAGACAATTTAAGTCAGAATTTTTGGTCTAATTGAGCATTGCTTATGTACTGTGTGATGTAATATATTATGAGTTGATATACTGGATTCTGGATGCCAGAAGTTGGTTGCATATATATAATATAGATGCACAATAGTGCAAAAACAATGGCTATGGAAGTAAATATTCAGTTTAGTCATTTTAACTGAAGTGTAAAAATATCTTTAAGTATTTCAGTGTGAAGATAAAACTATGCATACTACTTTGATTTAAACATACTATACTATTTTGTTTAATATTTCTTTTATTTGCTTTCTATAAAAAATAACACGCAACTGCTGCAATATCTTGAAACCTCTAGCATATTTTATGATGTACATATATTCTAAAGCTAAAACCTCAACATTTAAGAGAATTTGTAATTAAAGATTGCTCTGCAATGACCAAAATTCTCTTCAGTTGAAAGAGTCAAAAAGCTATAATAACCTTTTATTACTGATCCACCATTAATTTTAGTATGAAAGGAATATTATTATGGGTTTATTTTTGAGTTCAATGTGAAACATTTTGTTTAGACTGAACCTAAAGTGCATAAAGAAGTTAGAAAGGTAGACAATTAAGTGTCATGGTTTGGGGGTAACATCCTTCTGAAGGAAAGATCCATCTGCAACATACCATTCCTTTCCTGTGTTGGTAATCCATACAGACAGCACTTTTCATGCAGGATAACACCCTTTCACACATCAAAATGGGTTAAAGCAGTTCTTTGTAGCTAAGTGGCTATGAAACCCATGTCAGCAAACTTTGTAAATGTTTGGAAAAAGTGTGGGCCAAGATCAGACAAAATGTGAGAGCCTAGTAATGTCATTTGAGTGCAAATGTGAAGAAGTCATTCTAATTTTGACAGATATTACTTTCAAAACTATTTTGAGTTGTAATAATTATTCATGCAAGAATCATTGTTCTTTACTTTTATGCCTGTGTTTTTCACAAAATAAGGGCTTTTTGTTGAAGGACCTTGGTTATTTTGTAAAGCACTGTTCTAATAATATGACTGGCAAGGAGAAGCTAACTTAGTATTTTAATGGGAATTACTTAATAGTTTACAAATGTGTTATGTTTAAAAAGTTCCTCCCAAACACAACTAAATGATTTTATGTCTGTAAGAAAAAAAAGAAAAGAAAACAATAACAATCAATTACATGCCACAGTTCATATTACTGTTACATAACACAGTTTAAAAGAGTTGGTGCACGCCTCGCTGGCACATTTGTGACCAAGACAGCAAGTTTTTGTAATGCATCAAGAGCAACAGTATCAAAGTAATATCAGCATACCACAGAGAAGAACACATCACATCCCAAAGAACAGGCTGCTACAGTCAAACCTTTGATCACTAGTTGCTATGCCAAATGTCAGTTTCAATGGTGCCAGCAGCAAAAAATATTGGGCTGTGCACAATGTGAAACATGTATTGTTCTCTGATGAGTCCACTTCATTGTCTTTCAAACATCAGAGTTACAGTGTGGAGAAGTCTCAAAGAATTTTACAGTCTAGACTGCTGCATGCCCAGAGTGAAGGCTTGGTCTCGGCTTGGTGCCAGCCATCATGCAGCTCTCAATGGAACTTTCAGCTCAAGCACGTGTTCTGATAACGCAACAGCTACAACTTTAATGACTCATATCACTCACCAGAAAACACTACAAGGCCTCAAAATCACTTCTCTCCCACCTCTTAATGCTATCATATTTCCAATACTCCCCCTTCAGTCCTCAATCACTAATCCTCACCTGGCCCTCCAAGATTAGTTTGATGGAAAACCTGCTAAATCTAAAGGATTCCTTCTGCAATGTTCTCTGTTTGTTGCAAAACAGCCCCACATGCATCCCACAGAAGATAGCAAGATGGCATTTGTATGTTCCCTACTTAATGAAAAGGCTCTGAACTGAGCCACAGCTATCTGGCAAACCAATACTTTCTCTTTTCACTTATTTGATGTCTTTCTAAAATGCTTTTGCACCATGTTGATCACCCTGAAGAAAGAAAAGGATTCCTCACTGCAGTTGAATATGCTATCCACTTCCGCACTCTGGCTGCTCAAACATAATGGCTGGATAATAAATCAAAGGTAATCTACAGCCATAGTTTAAACAGCTCTATACAAGCTGAGCTCACATTTTAAGATAAAGCAATGTCATTGGGCCAGTTCATGGAATTATTCATTCGCCTAGGCAATGAGAAATTACTGATTTTTCCATTGTTCCAACCTGAATCTGTAGCCATGAAAGACTTCATTAAGGATCAGTTAGAAAAAGGATTTTTATGCCAATCCACATGGTCTGCTTCCACTGGCTTTTTCTTTGTGGACAAAAAGGATAAGGCTCATGCTCATGTCTTGACTACAGAAGTTTGAATGAAATAACTAATAAATAGCACCATTCTCTGCCTTGTGATCCAGTAGCTCTGGAACAAATTAAAATCCAAAAGTTCTTCTACACGCTAGATCTTCAAAGAGCCCATAACCTTGTCAAAATCTGAGAAGGAGATGAATGGAAGACAGCCTGCACCGAGCACTATGTGATACCCTTCTGACTAGAAAACAGTCTATCTGTATTCCAAGCTTTTATAAATTATCAGAGTTTTCAGAGACATGTTACAATAGATAATCATAGGGGCAATGCTGGATGGCACTGGCTCTATGACAACAGATGGTATGGTGGTTGCCGCAGTTGTAAGTGTAGAGCGTGGGGAGAGGGTGGGGTTATGGTTGGGGGATTTTGTTTGGCCCCTAATGGTATCTCTAGGGGCACCAAGACGGTGTGAGCTCTTAGAATAATCCTTTCACACCCCTAGCGGTGCCCCTGGGTTATCATCTACATCTATTAAATCCTGATATTCTCCAACTTCCTAGATGAACGCATAATCATATCCAAGCAGTATTGCTAAACTAATTGACCACAAGCTATGTGCCAAGTTTGAAAAGTGTGTTTCATCAGACATCAATCTCTTTCCTGGATTATACTTTTTCTACATAATCAGTGCCTTAGGGGTCATTAAGGATGAAAAAAATTGCCATGAAGGCAGCTTTGGAGCAATGGAGGCATTGGCTAGAGGGAGCGAAACATGAACTCACAGTCACCACCAATCACAAGCGCCTACAATATATTTGTACAGCTAAGACACTTAACCGCACTTCTTCAAGTCCTCTGTCACCTATCGCCCCAGGTCAAAAAACACCAAAGGAGATGCACTCTTATTACAACCACATTACAACCATTTCCCCAGACTGTCCTTTTATCCCATATAGCTATGACTTTATCACAGAATTCCCATCATCCCAGGGAAACACCAACATCCTCACCATGACTGACAGATTCTCCAAAGAATCTGAGTATATATAGTATAATATAGAGTAATACCAGTATTACTTTATAGAGTGATATATAGATAGAGTAATATATAGAGTAATACCCATCCCACAAACTCCATTCAGCACTGGAAACAGTTGAAGTTCACTTATGTAACAATGTGTTTTGCTTCTATGGATTCCCTGATTGCATTTTTTTTTTCAATATACAATTTACTA